CTGTTAAAATGATGACTTTTGGGGGTGGATCTTCCAATGCTGAACCAACACTGCCATCCCTATAATAAAACCACTTTCTACATACTGCCAAAAAAAAAAAAAGTTGTCATGTACAAAATCAAACTCCTGATTTCCCCTTCCTCACTTCCCCTCTATCAAAATCTCCTCCTCCAGAACCATCAGGAAACTGCCTCAATCAACTGCAACCAAATTATTCCTGCTCCTAAGGCCAAAAGCCTTAGAGTCGACATTGACTCTTTTACATACCACAAGAAAATTATAAGCAAATCCTGTCACAATACCTGAAAATGTATATCCAGATCTCAGTCACATCTTACAGCCCCCTTCACCCGCTCTGGTCACAGATACCACTATCTCGCTCTCTTCTCCACTAGATCAGTCTCTGCTTCTACTCCTGCCCAGGACTAAGAGTTCACACTCCGCTGAGAGTCTAGACTTACCCCAGACACAAGAGTAGTCTTGACACATTTAATAGCCCAGTGAGCCCTGAGTGTCTGCTAGCTCTCCAATATTATCAATCACCTACAACTCTCCCTTCCTCCCTCTCTCCCTCCTCCACTGGTGTCCACAGTTCCTTAAACAACCCAAACACATTCCCCCACCTCAGAGTCTTTGCATAAGACTGTGCCTGCCCTCTCTTCAGACATCTGATCAAGTATCACGTTTTCAATGAGACCTCCCTGATCAGTCCATATAAATGCTACTACTTCCCCCAGGTACTGTTTTCTTTACCTGTTCTATTTTTCTATTCACCCTAAAAGATATCAGATTTCTTCCCTTTTAAACATATTTTTCTTACAGGATGCATGACCTATCAAGAGGATACAACTTACAATTAATATCATATCATAGTTTAAGGCAACATTTTTTCTTAATAGTACACAGAATATAGGGCTGAGGATGTCACTCCGTGGTAGAGCACTCGCCTAGTATGCATGAGGCCCTGGGTTCAATCCCCAGTACTTGGGGGAAAAAAAGTACCTAAAGTATTTCTTACATTAATCTAATTAACGGTATTCTACATTTCAACAAAATATAGTATAGTATATATAATACATTTACTTACTCATCTATTCCCCACTAGGATATAAATACATGAGAAAAGGCTTTGTGTTTGTTTGTTTGTTTTGGTACCAGGGATCAAACTCGGGACCTTGCGCCTGCAAGGCAGACAGTGGAACCACTGAGCTACATCCCTGGTCCAAGGCTTTGTTTTATTGGTGTTTTTCCCCATGATAAAAGAGAACCCTGCACATATAAATAACTCATTTTTCTTTTCTTTTCTTTTTTTTTTTTGAGACAGGTCTCCCTACAGAGCCCAAGCTGGCCTCCTATTGGCAATCATTCTGCCTCAGCCTCTCAAGTGATGGAATTATAGGTGTGTGCCACCACACCTGGCTCAAATATTTCTTAAATGAAAGAAGGCACAGATGAAAGGGACCCTATTAGATTAAACCATATGAAACTGTAATCTGTGTAACTCAAAACCAAACACTGGCAATTTCATATGGGCCAACTGGATACATGAAGCATCAACAACAAAATTCCTCAAGACTTACTCAACATGTTGAGATCTTTAATGCTCTCAATGTTACATATATATATAAATCCTATAAATATATCATCCTACCTGTTCACGTTTATTCTGAATCCATGAATAAATCACACTGGGCTGTCTCACTGTCTTACCCTCCGCATTATTAAGAGAGGTATATGGAGAATGATTAGAAAATTCAGACATTTGCTGACCTATTGAAAAAACAACAATGACAATAATGATTAGGTGAGAACTTACGCTGTCTGATCCTCTGTAACTATGAGATTTCAATTTTAGAAATTAAATAGTCCTCGGGCTGGGGATTTAGCTCAATGGTGCCGCCGCCTGCCTTGCAAGCGCAAGGTCCTGAGTTTGATTCCCAGTAGAAAAGAAAAAGAAGAAAAAGAAAAAGAAAAAGAAAAAAGAAAAGAAATTAAATAGCCCTCACCAGAAACAGAAGTCCATAGTCTTGGTCCTCTTCTAATCAGCTGAGGACTCTTCGACAAACCATAGCAGGTGTTTCCATCAAAAATTCCAGCCACTCGCTTTACCACACTGGAGCCAAAAGGGGTTCCAAAAGGACTGGAGGTATCAGGTGTCTTTTCTGTGACAGAACAGAGACAGTGCTGAAGAAGCAACTTGACCCAAGCAGCATGGTATAGAGGCTCTATCTCAATTTTCTGTTTAACTCATACTCAAAGTTCAGTGGATTATTTCCATTTAGGTTTGTGTTTCCATGCTCCAGATTTTAATTTCCCAATTCAACAATCACTCAAGGAGCTTTACATATCTTCTTCTATCAGACTGGTGTAGCCTCGCTTGTTTTCCTTGCCCTTGAATCTGTTTATCTTAAAGTCAATTTCTATAAGCTGTTTTCAGTGAATTCACCAATTCACAATTTATTTTTAAACAGCAACTTTAATTATTACATTTGAATTTCTCCAGTTTTACTGGATGTTCCTACTGTAACTATTATTTGGCTAAACATAACAAACTATATACTGTGAGGATGAACAAGAAAAAGATGCTACCGTTTTCCCCAAAGTTCTTTCAACTTAACAAAAGTCACACCAAAGATTAATCTGCCCAGATGTCTGTAAATCTGACCTGTAAAAATTTATTTAAAAAGCATCTTTGGTGTCTTCTCAAAAGAATTAAAAGCATCATACCAGTTATATATGCACATCCATGTTTATAGCGACACAATTTGTAACAGCTAAATCTTGGAAACAGCCCCAATGCCCATCAATCAATGAATAGATAAAGATGTAGTTTTTTTATACAACAGAGTACTACTCTGCCATAAAGATAAGCTTGAGATACTCCTAGCTAAATAGATGAACCTTGAGACCATACTCTTATGAAATAAATTGGGCACATGTGTTTAAATACTCCATTGTCTCTCTGATATGAGAAACCAAAAGTATAAATAAGATCAAAATGTGTAATAGATATTGAGAAATGGGAAGAAAATGTTCAAATGAGAAGGGGAACAAGGTGGGGGGAGGGGGAAAGGAAGGAAGGGACAAGAAAAAAAGAAGAAAAGGAAAAAAGTGGAACAAAGCTTTTGTAAATAAGGAGGGGGGCTGGGGATTTAGCTCAGTGGTTTCTCCGCCTGCTGCGCAAGCACAAGGACCTGAGTTCAATCCCGGGTACCAAAAAAATAAAAAATATTAAAAAAAATAAGGAGGGGTAAAGAGGTTGAAGGGAGGAGAGGGAAATGGGGAAAAAAAAAAAGCAGCAAGATATATCATGCACAGGTACAAATTCCCTATGATGTTATCAATATGTATCTAAAATGTGCCAATAAAAATAAATAGTAGCTTATAACACCATTAATTTAATTATAGTCTGTTGTACAAAAAGGAACTTTTCCACACAAAACACAACAAACTGCACTCAAATTCTTTCTTAATAAAACTGCCGTAAGCTGGGGATTAAGATCAGTGGTTTCGCAGCGTGGTGCTTAGGCGCAAGGACACAAGTTCAATCCCCGGTACCAAAAAAAGAAAAACAAAAAACTGCTGTAAGAAATTAAACACTCAAAGTACCAAATTTTCATTACATGACTTTTGAAAGGTTAGCAGAAATTACAAATCTTTGAAAAATCACTTTAAAAATTAAGTCTGGGGCCAGAGATTTAGCTCAGTGGTTCTGCTGCCTGCCCCAAAAGCGCAAGGACCTGAGTTTGATCCCTGGTACAAAAAAAAAAAAAAAAAAATTAAGCCTGAAGCTTTGCAATAATCCCTCAAAATTACAGGCAAATCTTGTTTGAATGACAGAAACTAACAACAATTTTATTTTTCTTTGTTTTTGTTTTTTTGGTACCAGGGATTGAACTCGGGTCCTTCTGCTTTTGAGGCAGGCAGCAGAACCACTGAGCAAAATCCCCAGCCCCCTAACAACAATTTTAAATAATGCATATTGATAGTATTTGGCCAGACCCATGACCTACCAAACCCAGGATTATGATGATCTTTCTAATATGCTCACTTGCTCCAACTAGCCGATAGCCTATTCACAGTTCCCCAGTGGCTCCATGTACCCATTGAGTAAACTCTTTTTTTGTAACACACAAGGCCTCCTTTCGTTATCAAAAATCTTGCCAATTTAGACTCCTGGACAGAGTTATTATGTCTTATCATTATTTATGTGCCTTCCCCTAAAAGGTCAGTTTCAAGAGTATTTTTTCATCTGTGATTCTCTGCCTTCTAGCAGTGCCTGGCATACAGAAGGCATTCAGTAATGTTGAATAAATGAGATCAATAAGTATTTGCTGAGTATCTGAAGGACGGCATTATCTGAAACACTCCAGCATCTTTTAAAACCTCACACTGATGAGCTCACTGAAATCATTTTTTCCTCTGTAGTCTGTTTTGGGGCCATAATCCCTCCAGAGTAGTGACTTTGAAAATACAGATGAGCTTGTTAGTCCATACAGTGATTTGTGAACATCAAAAGTAGTTACATTTAAAAAGTCTCAAATTTTTGGATTTCAAGCAATTTGGGGGGGAAAAAAATTAAGAAGTTCAGAGACTGGATATATATTTCCCTCTGGGAACAACAGAGTATAGAGACCCAAAACTCCTCCGATGAAGCCTGTGCTCTAAGGTTTCCTCCGTCTTCACCCTGAGTCGCACCTGTTCTCATTAAGTGCCTGCTTCCCAATGGCGTGTGACCATGAAGTCCTCTTGCCAGTCACACCCATGGGCATTTTGTACTGACAGGATGTGATGAAATACCACAAGCTCCTCCACCTGTGCTTCCTCCTTGCAAATGGAAGGGGCACTAACAAAATATTAGGCTATCTTGAAACGAGTGTGATGTGCTTCTCCCAAGTTTCTCAATCATTTCAGCTGCTCTTCTCTGGACCAGCAACCCTGTCCCTGGGATACTACGACCAGGACAGCATCCAGTATCATCTGTAAGGATTCATGTGGCTTCGTACTGTCATCTTTTATTTGATGACCATCATTTTATCTTTTAAACACTAGTGCCACATTGGACTTAATTTTTTAAAGTTTAATTTGCAGGGCCGGGGATTTAGCTCAGTGGTTCCGGCACCTGCCACGCAAGCGCAAGGTCCAGAGTTCGATCCCCGGTACCAAAAACAAACAAACAAACAAATAAAGTTTAATTTGCAAATAAAAACTTGTACCTATTTCTGGTATACAATGACTTGATGTTTTGGATTTAATCTTTTCAATCTACAATGATACCCAGGTCTTGGTCCAATGCAATATCCCACATTTGATCAACTTTCCCTAAAAATATACACTTCACCCTCATGCAAGGTTAGATTAACTACTGCCATCTTTCTAGTTTCTGAGGCAAGGTCTATGTAGTCCAAGCTAGCTTGAACTCACTGTGTAGCCCAGACTGGCCTTACTTATGGAGACCCTCCTGCCTCAGCCTCCCAACTGCTGGGATTACAGGTGTTTGCCATCATGCCTGGTATACTTTTCTTAGTAGCACAAGGAGTTACCTGGAGAATCCAATTTCTTAGGTTCCACTGGGTATGAAGAAGACACTCTCCCATTTGTAGCAGCAGCTTCTTGGTACAGAACTAGTTTTTGAGTCATATTATTTAAAAGATTCAAACACTCCCTTGAAATGGCCGTCCAATTGTAGGGATGACCACCTACAAGAGCCAATCAACAATTTTTAAAATGTAAATAATCTTATATTTACCTCTCAAAGTGGGAAGGGGGAAATCAGTAAGAAATGCTACAGGCTGGGGATGTAGCTCAGTGGCACTGCACCTGATTGGCAAGCACAAGGTCCTGAGTTCCATCCCCGGTACCAAGAAAAAAAAAAAGAAATGCTACATTACACTTTGCATCAGGCCCACTTTTCCTAGTTCAGCTATCTTTGTATACTTATGCCCTAATCCCCTAGTGATTCAATGAACATTTGGATAAATCAATTTTCCCAAAAGCCTATAACCAAAAACTTGCTATTTTACTATTAAAAAGCTCTCAGATCAGTTGCTAAAATAAAGCCAAACTCCGGGTCATGGTGTGAGTGAGAAAGACCAGGGTTACTTCACTAGCAATACTGAAAAGACTGCTCAGGCTGTGAACAATGAAGTTCAGAATCTAGGAGGCCCAAGAGATACACCCTACAGTTCCCAGAGCCCTCAATGTCTGACTCTCCCTGCTTTCTTATATTTTCACTTACAGTAGACCCTCCTTATCCAGCATTGCTCTCCAGTTTCAGTTATCTGTGCTCAACCTCGGTCCAAAAGTATCAAATGGAAAACTTCAGAAATGAGCAATTCATGAGTTTTAAACTGCATGTCATTCTGAGTAGTGTGATGGAGTCTAGGCCCACCCTGTGCCAGCTGACCCCAGAACAGCAATCATCCCTTTGGCCCTGCCTGACAATCACTCAGCAGCCAGCTCTGCTTTCAGATCAACTGTCGTGGTGTCACAGTGCTTGTGTTAAAATATCCTTATTTTACTAATGGGCCTGACACAAGAGTAGTGACACCAGCAATTTTATTACAGCATATTGTTATAATTGTCCTATTTTCTTATTAATTTCTTACTGTGACTTAAAATTTATAAATTTTATCATAGATATGTATGTATTGGGAAAAACAAAGTACATTTAAGGTTCACTACTATCCAGTTTTAGACATCCACTGGAGGTCTTAAAATCCATCTCACACATGGAGATGTGTCACGTGTCCATTAGCCAATATTTGCTACTACATCTCTAGGAGAGACTCATTGTTCAATGATTATACTTTATACTTGGAGAGTTTACATATCCGCTCATATCTCTTACTATTTAACTAATGACATCCCCCACTTCTTTAAAATTTTCTTCTCACTGTCTTTAGAATCTCTTTTCTTTCTTACCAACAGTACTGGAGACTGAACCTAGGGCCTCACACGTGATAGGCACTCTACCAGAGTCACATCTGCAGCCCTTTTTAAATTTTGAGACAAGGTCTCACCAAGTTGCCCAGGCTGCCCACAAATTTATGATCTTCCTGCCTCAGCCTCCTGAGTAGTTGGGACTATAAGCATGTGCCATCACGTTGAGCTGTCTTTCAATTTTCTAAGACTTTTGCTCTACAGCTATCATCTAAAACTCAGCAATGCTTCAGTATGTATTGAGAATAACAGATGGCCGCTGAAAACTGGTTTCCCCATTTTGTATGCCAATCACTCCCTCTGTATTTGGAACTCTCCTTAAACACTTCCCCTTTCATAACTCAAGAGAAATACCCTTTAACCTGCAAACATACACACACACACACACATAATAATACGCTGTCAGTATGCCTTATGTCACTGCATACAACTCACAACCTCTAGGGACTGTGTAATACTCCCATTAAATTTAAGTAATGTGCCTTAGAATGCACGTTCTCTGGCACAGCACAAGAAAATCCAAATGTAATAGAAAAGTAGTGTTACAGTTAATTTTCCAGTTATCGACTCTGTATTTCTCACATAAAATTGAGTGACTCCAATCAATTATATATTATAACTGGTTTTCATTTCTATACTATATTTAACTATAGCAGGGTGTTTTTTTCTGTTTTTTTTAACAATCTGGGCATTGGCAAGTTTGGCAAAACAAAGAAGAGCTAATTAGGAAGAGGATGAAAAGCTACCTAGGTTCTCTCTTCTCCACTGGCAGCTGGAACTGGTCTGCCTCCCCTGTAGTAACAAAGACAGAGCCCTGGCAACATCACAGTCTTGAACAGCTTGGCAAGCAGCAGTGGAGAAGTGTGTCAGGGTTGCCAAGAGCATCTCTGGGTCACCATCAAATGCAGTTCCTTCCTAGTTTGTTTTTTGAAAGGAAGTCAGAAGCCAAGCATGGAAGCGTGGTGATGCCTGCCTATAATCCCAGAACTTGGGAGGCTGAGGCAGGAAGATCATGAGCTCAACACCAGCCTGGGCTACATAGTAAGACTTTGTCTCTAAAATAAAAATAAAATAAGAGCAAGGCAGAGAGCTCTGTACTTGGGAGCAGAATTCTTACTCCCACTCTCAACATTTACTTCATTTAAATCCCTTATTCTCTTTAAGACTTAGGTTTCTCATCTAGGGATTAGACTGCCTTTTCTTTGGTTTTTTCACAGGGCTTTGCTGTGTAGTTCAGACTGGCCTTGAACTCACTATGCACCCCAGGATAGCCTTGATCTCATGGCCATCCTCCTGCCTCAGCCTCTCAAGTGCTGGGATTACAGGCATGCGCCACCACACCTGGCCAGACTATCTTATTTTTAAAACTCAGTATAGCATTAAAACTTTCAGGAGAGCCGGGGATTTAGCTCAGTGGTTCTGCTGCCTGCCTTGCAAGTGCAAGGTCCCGGGTTCAATCCCTGGTACCAAAAAACCCAAAAAAACAACTTTCAGGATTCTTTTATTTCTTTTTAAACTTTTAGGATTTCTTTTTAAACTTTCAGGATTCCTTTTTTTTCCTTTTTAAACTTTTAGGATTCCTTAGCTATAATGTTGTCCTCTAAAACTGTCAACCTACTACATAATTTCTTCAAGTCAAGGTACTGAGGAAGCTAAAGGAAATAAAAATTTAAAAATAAATACTTTTCCTAGTGACATAAATTCTACCCAGAGCAAGGCAAACACTTAAGATGCATATGACTTAAATCAATAATTCGTTTAAGGAACTCACTGATGTGTGATATTTCATTAACTATACCTCTCACCAAAGCACTTTTTGCACACACATGCCTAATCAGTTCTATTAATTTCAGCAATACCTGGTTGGCTAAGGCTAAAAACTTCTTGTCTTCGAGAAGAGGAATATTGAGAAAGCAACATCAGGTCCTGCAAAGCTAAATACTAGAAGGAAAAAAAATACACATTATTTAATTTTTTTAAATCTCCAAATAAAATCTAATTTATGAATTGGGTTATTACATAACCAAAGGAAAATCAGATGGACTTTTTCACGAAAGACGTATTTCAGACCCATAACCTTCCTTCCTAGACTTCCAAAACTTTCCTGTCTCTTCCCTCCCAACCCACAGCAGGCTCCAGCTATACACAAGAACTATAGAAGTCTGTGTGTTCTTTCCTACCTCTGTGGTGGGAACCAAAACATCATTTCCTCTGGAAATTTGCCCAGCCTCCCTCGTGAAAACACAGACACACAGAGCTCTCAACTACGGTGCTTAGAGTAATGCACTGCAGAGCCTGTTTACTGGTTTTGACCTAGTTCCACCCCCCAAAACCTGAGACCCATAAGAAAAGGGAACATATCCAAATGCAGTGTTTCACACTCTGGAGATACATATCTGCTGCTTTTTCACTTAAAACCTTCTTTTTCTTTCCCCTGGCAACCTCTTTACTCATCCTTCAAGATATCACCCCTCAGGGAGCCTTTCTTGTATTTGTCCCACTTGCCGCACTGAGTTTTAATTATTTGTGTGTCCACCTTTCCATTAGGCTGTGCTAGTTCTCATTCATTATTCCACCCCACATGATAAGCAGCGACAGACACCTGGCCACTAAATAAAGATTTGATAGTAACCAAATGAGTAACTGGTATTTCTAAGTTTATCTTAACAAATTAGTCACAACTGATATTTAAAAGCAATAAGAGTCTCAGTAGTTCATTTTCTTCTTTGTTTATAACTTCTTCAGAGTATAATCAAAACTCTGAGCTCTAACCATGTTCTTTTCATTCTTTTTAAAGTACTATGATTTTTTTTTTTTTGGCACCGGGGATTGAACTCGGGTCCTTGCGCTTGTGAGGCAGGCGGCAGAACCACTGAGCTAAATCCCCGGCCCTAAAGTACTATGTATGATTTTTTAACAGGATGACACATGTAGCTCTACTTTCACTTAAGATTGATTTGTAAACTTACTGCAACTTCTTTAAACTCTTGATTATAATTTCTTTTAGGATCATTAACAGTAATTTATATTTAAAGATATCACTAAATATCTACATACTTTCAAGCAGTACCTTTGATCATAAAAGCCAAAAAATACAAAGTGAATAGAAATATGTCTTGATCCAGTGATTAAAAAATCAACAGTGCTTTTGCTTTGGTACCCTGAACAGTTAGACAGCACTGCATTTTAGGGTTGGAAGTATTTTTATAACTTTTCTAACATAGAATTAGCTTGCTTAGCTGGACATGGTGTTACATCCCTGTAGTCCCAGCTACTCAGGGGGTTAGGAGTTCAAGACCAGTCTAGGCAACACAGTGAGACCCCATTTCAAAAAAAAAACATTCACTAGCTTATAGATGCATGGTGCACTTTACACTTTACATTTGCATTTTAGTCACTTGGAAGGAAAACTGAAAAATAGCATCAGCAGGGTGATTTTTATAACTGTGATTTTTAACTGTAGGTCCTCAAAAAATGTATCTAAATTCCTAAATATTAAGTCTACGCTAAATTGGAGATGACTGTGTAAAAACACAAAATGCAAAGCTCTGGTACCTTTATGATGAGGGGAGGATTACTGTTTAAAACTCTCGGGAGGCATTCATTTGATTCTTCCGCAAATGGTGGTTGAACAGGAAACACGTGAGCCTATCATGTATGATCAAATATAAATATAAAAATAATTATTTTCATGACTTTGTTATACTCATTAAGTAAGCAATAACTGAAATTACAAAAGGAGACAATACAACCAAATTGGTATCTTCAATACCTCTTCAAATAACAGGTTAAAGTTACAGAAACTCAAACACACTATCTTAACAAGGTTACTGTCCTAATTTTATTAGACTCTTCCAAAAAAGGCAAATTTCTGAAACAAATATTTTCTGAAGCCACTGAAAAATACAAACCTGCTGAGATGGTAACATGAAAGAGAAATATGCATTTTCGAAGATAAATAACTGGATGATAAAAACAACATAATTCCTGACTTAAGATTTTTGTGGGAGGGCCTGGGATTTAGCTCAGTGGTTCCAGCGCCTGCCTCAAAAGCTCAAGGTCCTGAGTGGGATCCCCGGTACCAAAAAAAACAAAAGATTTTTGTGGGAATTATCCAGAAGATCATTTCAGTTTTCAATTTCATTTCTTCAGGATAAATTTTAAAACTTTCCTTCAAGAAACAAATATTTGGGCCAGGGATTTAGCTCAGTGGTTCCAGCACCTGCCTCACAAGCACAAGGTCCCAAGTTCAATCTCCGGTACCAAAAAAAAGAAAAGAAATATTTTATTGTCATATACTTAAATATCTTAATAGCATCTATATCAACTGCATACAAAATTAATTTAAAATTCAGGCCCATTTACTATGTACTCAATAAAGAAATAGAAGCCTCCAGAAGTGAACTAGATTGTAAATAAAACATAGTTAAGTATGTACCATTCAGTTTAATATCTAAAAATTAAGTGAACACCAACAATGTTTCTTGGGAAAAAAAAATACAAAGTAAACAATGGGTACAGATGATACACCTCTAATTAAGTCTCAGAAGAGAGACTGAAATCCAACTTACTGAAACGGCTTTGGGCACAGCATGTTAATCAGTGCTCTATAAAAGTTGATTTGTGGGGCTGGGGATTTGGCTCAGTGGTTTCGCTGCCGGCTGTGCAAGCACAAGGACCCAAGTTCAATCCCCGGTACCAAAAAAAAGGTCAATTTGTGCACTCTTAAACACAGAAGTATTAACAAAAAAACTCAATGCTAACCTCTGTGGAATAGATTTTGAAGAGTATCCATGAGATGTACCAAGTCATCAGGAGGAAGACACCACAGAGCCAGACATGGTAGAGTAATGAAAGATTCAAGAGGCCACTTATTGTGTCAAGGGGTCTGTGAAACTGCCTATGGAAACAGAAAGCACTGTTTAATCTCATGGGGAAAATACAATCTAAGCATTTAACACTTTTGGGACTCCACACTGAGAAATCCTATTTCTAAATAATAATGTTACATTCTTCTTCTTTTGTACCCTTATGGAAACCTTTCCCTAATACTTTCTCAGTAGGTACACAAAGCAGACTAAGAGGAAGCATAGGCCTACAAAGGCCCTACAGTTTGTGTTCCAAATTTTCTCTGTCATTTACTGTGGAAAGAAAATGACCCAAGCCTGTAAACCTAACTACTTAGGCTGGGTAAAAGCTTATTATTGTTGCTTTGTAGTTTAATACTTAAAAACCATTAAACATACCAGCCATGGTGATAAATGCCTGTAATCCCAGCACTTGGGAGCCTGAGGCAAGAAGAGTGCCGTGAGTTTGAGGTTAGCCTGGGCTACACAGTGAGTTCAAGGCCAGCCTGAACTACAGAGCAAGAGCCACTCTCAAAAAAACACAAACAAATAAAAAATATTAAACATGACCAGGACCTCTCCTGCACCAGATTTCAGCTTTATCCATATATTACCTGATAAACTGTCGCAGTGGTTAAAAGCACAAGCTACTAATACAATGACCTGAATTTTCAAACAATTTAAGAAACTGCCAGAATGCTAAATGAAACTACAAGTTGTGATATTTTACCAAAACCTTGAATAGATCAAGTACCCTAGTCAAATCCTATAATCATAAAACCAGCAATTGTGAAAGCCAGGCTGTGAATCTCTGACTGATTAATAAGTGTTGTGATTAGCTAAATAACTCCACCTATTCTACCCTCATTTTCCTTATCCATGTAATTGTGGCATAAACTCTCACTCTACATCATGAGTTCAAGGCCAGCCTGAACTACAAAGCTAGATGCTGTCAAAAAACACAAGGTGTGGAATTAAAATTCACAAGCTGTATGGTAAATATTTAATTTTTTAAAAATTACTATAAAAATACATTGCCATTAACTCCCTCACTTCAAACACATTTATCCCATCATTCTTGCCACTTTCTGAAGCAGTTGTGGAAGTTCTCATTTGTGAGTGTCTTCAGTTATACTATCAGGGCCTCACTGTCTTCAATCAACTCAAAATGTTTTTCTGGGCCGGGGATTTAGCTCAGTGGTTTCCGCCTCCTGCTGCGCAAGCGCAAGGACCCAAGTTCGATCCCCGGTACCAAAAAACAAAACAAAACAAAAAAAACATTTTTCTTTCCTGACCACTTCAATTTTGAGGAAAAGCCAGAGCCAGAAGCCACAAAGGGCCAGATCCAGAAGTGAATGAGGGCACACCACAATGTCTTTACAACCCTGCCTTTTCATTAGATGACTCAGTAGCAGCACTCATTGTATTCTGTATTACACCTCGTAAAGATATTCACCAAAGAAGACTTCCAATTTGCTTCAGAAAGTGACAAGAATGATGACTATATTCGAAGTAAAGGAGAGTATTGTGAGGGAGGTTAGTGCAATGTGTCTCTTAATATAATACATTCTTTATAATTTAAACATTCACCATATATTTTGATTGTACCTCATACAGTTAATTACTCTAATATCTCTTAAAAATATACAAACATGCCAGGATTCCCACTCCCCAAAACTGGTATGAGTGAATTCCATGTGTGACACAAAATCTCATGGTAGAAAAACCAATAATTAAAAGAACAAACATTGAGGGAAACCGACATTTATTGGGCAAACACACATTAAACCCTTATCTATGTGCAAAGCACATGAGGTAATAACGCTGGTAACTCCTGTGTTACCAGAGAACAAGGGGGCTGCAAGCTTGCCACCTTGCTCAATTTTGGTTGCCTCACAGGCAAAATTAGAATAATGCCACAGCATTCATTTGTATAAAATACCACAGTATGAGCCAGGTATGGCGGTGAATGCTGTAATCCCAGCATTCTGGGAGACAGAAGCAGGAGGGTTGCAAGCCTGAGGCCAGCCTGAGGAACTTAGCCAGACCCTGTTTCCAAACAAGGGGCTGAAGTTGTAGCTCAGTGCCAAGTATTGTAAAAACATACAGACTGAAGGGTTGCTGAAAAGAAAAATAAAAGAGATGGATGGTCCATACATTTTGAAAAGTCCACTTTTATTGAATATAAAACTGATCGAACAATAACAAAAAATACAGGTCACCACTGCTTATTTCTGGGGAGAATAACTGCATGACTAAAGACAGGGACAAAAGGACTTCTTATACAACTTTGAAATTTTATACTAGAGAAACTGAGTATTCAAAATAAATCCAGGGCTGGGGATTTAGCTCAGTGGTTCTGGTGCTTGCCTAGAAAGTGCAAGGTCCCAAGTTTGATCCCAGGTACAAAAAAAAAAACAAAACGAAAAACAAAATAAATCCAATGTTGGGCTGGGGATTTAGCTCAGTGGTTTCACCACCTGCTGCAAAAGCGCAAGGACCTGAGTTCAATCCCCAGTACCAATCAATCAATCAATCAATCAATCCAATGTTTTTTCCCTTAGAAAAACTTAAATAGTTAAATTTGCAGATAAGTACTAAAAGGATCACCTTCAAGCATTGTTAAGGAGACACAGTTAAAGCAGATGAAGCAACTGATTACAGTATGCAACGCTCAGCAGCTAAACAGGATAGGTGAGGAAATACATTATAGGATGGGCTGGATGAAGAAGATCTAGTTCCTGGATAAGGTTGGCTTCGGCTTGATCCCATGGCAGAGGTCACACAGGTCTTCTAGGCCACACACAGCTGGGGAGGGAGCAGGCACCCTCTTCTTACACGGAGTGTCTCCCTCTCTAGCTTTGTTTCTTATTTCAATTTTTTAAAAAGAGATTTAAGGGCTGTATCTAAGCAAAGCATCTAAAAAGTAGTAGACATTTAACAGGATAGTGAAAGAGTTAAAATGAGACTTTTTAACTATCACTTACTCATCTGTGTGAAGGTCCATAGCAGTCCTAATCCAAGCTTTGGGAATATAGCCTGAAGAGAAAAAATTTCAAATTGTGAACATGAAAAGCTAATAAAACATATCTTAATTATGCTTTAGACTTCAGGCTTTAGGTCAAAGTAGACACCAAGACCTCAGGCAAAATACTACACTGTTTGATTAGGAAGGGTAGGAAAAGAGAATAATTTCTATATACAGACAGTCCTCACTTTGTGCAATTCTGATATGTACATTTTTCAATTAGCATGATTTAAAAAAAAAATCAGTACCCCAACAACACTTGAAATTTCAGTTACTAAAAAAAAAAAAAAAAAAAAATTCAATTACTATGTTGACTGCATAGCACGCCTCTACCCTTTCGGCACACAAATCAACATGCAGGTGACAGATACACTCCATGATCTATAAGCAGTCCCATCACCACCGGCCACGCTCATCAGTTCAGACACAGACAGCAAAGCATGTCACTCTGCTGCCTCCTGTCTCCCATGATAAATCCATGACATACCATGAACAGGGAAAAGAGGAAACTGTCCTCAAAAGATCAAAGCACAGCAAGAAAAGCAACAATGCTGAAAACCGTATCTAAAAAGAGTTACAGAAGAATGAGGTGATCATGGGAATGCCGACACAACTATGTCAGCCTAAACGTACAACTCTCGGGCATGAGCCAGGCCAGCTGCAGCAGCTTAACACATCAGTAACACATATCAGTAACACATCACCATCAGAATGACAATCGTAAGAGCTACGCAAAAAAATGGATTCTATAAACTACAAGTGCAAAAATAAACAAGTGGATGGGTTATGCACAGTGAGAATTATCTATAATATCTATGGAAAAAATAGGATCAGAATAAATTCTAGTCTAAAAACAGTAGTTTTGAATGTTGGATTTTATTAAAGTCATTATGTGTTGATGACAACATTAAATGTTTTCAACTTGTACTATTCATAATGCTGAATAGTAAGTTGAGTTTTTTGTGCCTAAAATTCATGTTGATAAATACGACAAAGTTTTGGGGCTGGGGATTTAGCTCAGTGGTTCCGCCACCTGCCTCGCAAGCGCAAGGTTCCAAGTTCTATCCCTGGTACAAAAAAAAAAAATACTACAAAGTTTCCTTATGGATAGGGTATTTGTTGTATCAGTACGAAATTACAAACTTATAAATGGCCAAATGGCATACAATATTTTCTTTTTTTTTTTTAAAGAATACATTTTTTGGCCGGAAATTTAGCTCAGTGGTTTTGCCACCTGCTGCGCAAGCACAAGGACCCGAGTTTGATCCCTGATACCAAAAAGAAAAATAGAACATATATTTTTTTCTTTTTTTTTTTGGTACCGAGGATTAAACTCAGGACCTTGCGCTTGTGAGGCAGGCAGTGGAACCACTGAGCTAAATCCCCGGCCCAAGAATACACTTTTTATTCTTCACTATTTTTCATTGTGTAGCATGGTAGTCTTAACCAGGTTCACACTGTCATGCAACAGATCTCCAGAACTTTTCCATCTTGCATGACTGAACAATTCCTCCCCTTCCCATCTTCTTAGCCTCCAGCAAACACCACTCTACCTGGTGTTTCTCAAAGTGCGACCACTGTAGATACCTTCCGTAAATATTTTATTTTTGTGATTGGGTTATTTTAGTTAGCATAATGACCTCAAGATTTATCCCTCTTATAGCACAAGACAAAATTCCCTTTCTTTAAATGGCTTAACAGTATTTAATTACATATACTAGGGGTTCCTCCTCCACCCTAGTGCTGGGAGTAGAACCCAGGGCCTCACACATGCGAGGCACCAAGTGCTCTACCACTGATCTACATCCTGGTCCCTCATTACATGTATAATCACATTTCTTTAACAATGTTTTCCCTTAATTAAATAAGTATTCTTTGACAATTTAAACAACGTATCAGCTGGGCTAATCATATACCTATAACAAACACAATAATGAATGACTTTGTACCTGAAATTTCTGAGTTCTGGACTGATAATACCCTATACTAAGAGGCAGAAAAATGTTTAAATTCCCATTAGTCCATGTTTGCATAACATGTGTATAACACATCTCAATTCTTTTTACATCCCCTTCCCCACTTCTCCCTCCCAAAAGTGGAAATTCTTACCAAGAAAGTAATACACGATGCAGAAATTTCTAACCAGGTACAGTGATTCCATACAACTATGCTTAACTATTAAGAGCAGAGATCTCCTGAAGCGCAAAAACTTGTACTGCTGTAGAAAAAAAAGAAAGTACACAATCAAATAACACATCCAAATCAGTCAACACATTCCACATCACCCTAAAAAACAAACACTTAACTATAGCAGTCAAGATATAAAACATAATCACTGTACAAAAAGAGAGATTATTCCAGAGGAAAAAAAAAAACAAAATCTACTTTTTTTTTTGTACCAGGGATCAAACTCAGGACCTTGCGCTTGCAAGGCAGGCACGGTGCCACTGAGCTAAATTCCCAGCTCCAAAATCAACTACTTCTGATGTTAAAATATGTAATATTTTTACATTGTATGACCATCTCACTGATAGAGCAAAAGTAAGAAATTTCAAAAACAATTAAAAAAAAGAGCTGAGATGTATGGTAGCATACAACCCGGCACACAGGAGGACAAGGCAGGATTGTGACAAGTTTGAGAAGTTCAAGGACCGCCTGGGCTACATAGTGAGTAGCAAGACCCTGTCTCAAAAAACAAAAAAGAAATTTAATAATATCAATCCATACTTGATACAAAGGACTACAGAGAAGGATAAAGTATAAAAACAGCAACACAGAGGGCCAGGGATTTAGCTGTGGTTCCGCCGCCTGCCTCACAAGCCCAGGGTCCTGAGTTTGATCCCCGGTAGCAACCCCCCCCCCAAGAAAAAAGAACCCAGAAACACAGAAATCCCCCTTTATCCATGGAGGATACTCTTCCAAGATCCCCCAAGAGTGCCTGAAACTATGGAAAGTACTGAACCCCACATATATTGTTTATTTCTATGTAATATACTGTATATACTTATGGTAAGTAATATAATAAATTAGGCACAGTAACAAATTAACAAGTAATAAAATTAAAATAATATATTTTAACAAAAATTATTTAAAAGTTGTGACTTATTTCTGGAATTTCCTACTTAATATTGTTAGATTGTGGCTGACCACAATAAAAATATTAGTAAAAATGTGGAAAGTTACCAACAATAGTGGCTAACATTCTTAGGGTACTTACAATGTACCCGGTACTGCTCTAAACACATTTTATGCATTAAGGCTCTAAGGGAGAAATGGCATAGAGGAAGGGCCTGTCCGCAGAGAAAGCTGTTTGTACTACAGCAACCAGGAAAGCAGAGAAAGAAAAGAGGGAAAGATACCCTTTGAGGTCACAACCGTGGTGACCTGCCTCCTTCAACCAAGCCTCATCCGTACAACACATTTAGCTATAAACACATCAGTGGACTAATCTAATCCATCCATGAGCATAACACCTCCATTATCTAACCACCACTTAAAACCATTATCTAACCACCTGCCTCTGCCGGGGCATGGTGGTGCACACCTAAATTCCCAGGACTCTGGAAGCTGAGGAGGATCACTGTGAGTCTGAGATCAGCCTAGGCTACATAGTGAGTTCAAGGACAGCCTGAATTACACAGCAAGACTTTGAATGAATGAATGAATGCCCTACCTCTAAGCACATGAAGCTTTGGTGGGAAGGGCATTTTTGACAAAAATCCTAACATTTTGCTCCCAGCCCCCAAAAGACTCACGTGCATTTTTTTTTATTTTGGTACTGGGGATCGAACTTGGATCCTTGTGCTTGAGTGGCAGACAGCGGAATCACTGAGCTAAATCCCCCAACTTACACGTATTTTTTCATGTAAAATTTAGTCTCTGTAAGAGTCACCAAAGTCTTAATAGTTTTAGCATTGTTGAAAATTCTAAGTCTAAAGTTTCACCTGAGACTAACACAAACTTTAAGCTGTGAACCCCTGTAAAAAGTGAAAAGAAATCTAAATACTATAGATATACAATGATATAAGACAATCTAAAAGGGAGGAACACAAGGATAAAAAGGAATCAGACCAAAGGAAGACTGAAACCCAGTAGGGCAAGCATTGTATCTTGCAGCTCTAGGCCGAGCACCAGGGCAAGGTGTGGATGTGAGCTCCAAAAGGGCGTGGGCGGTCCTGCCCTGCAGCTTGCCAGTTATAGCCCTCATTGCCTCTCTCTTGGGCTGGCTCTGTTCACTGTCTGTGGTTTTTTTCAGATGCTCTACCTTCCTGGCTTTTCCAACGTCTCCACTGTACTTTTGGCTTTACACACAATTTTACGCACTGCCCTCTAGGGTCATTTTTGCCTGGTCTCCCAGATCTTTTTCTAAAATCTGAGTAGAAGCCTCTTCGACCCCACAACTTTGGTATTTTGTATGTCTATAAAACCAATACCCATGTGGCTGACACCAAGGTCAGTTGTCTGTTCAAGGAGTAGCTAGGTAACCTTGCATCACGACTGTAGAGGCTTTCCAGTGCCTGTATGATTGAGCACTATGAAATTAATTTTGTGGAACCAATTTTTTAGGCAGCCCTTTTTGAGCACAGTGCCCTTGGGCTCTCTTTTTATTTATTTATTTTTGGTACCGGGGATCAAACTCGGGTCCTTGCGCTTGCTTGCGTAGCAAGGCGGCGAAACCACTGAGCTAAATCCCCAGCCCCTGGGCTCTCTTTTTATTTTTTTTTATTTTTTTATTTTTTTGGTACTGGGGATTGAACTCAGGACCTTGCACTTGCAAGGCAGGCAGTGGCAGCACTGAGCTAAATCCCTGGCCCATGGGCTCTCTTTTTAAAGCAAAGTGTTTTTCTTTTGTACCTTTGACCCAAGGAAGGGTATGGTCTTACTGATTTTTGAGAGTCCTTAAGCCATCTTTTTTATTGTCCTGATGTAAAGTACTTTTTTTTTTTTAAATCCTTTTTATCAATCAAGCTCTCTTCTGCCAAAACTTTACAGGTCCCAACTTTACAAGCACTATCTCTTTGGCGACCAGAAAATTTTTTTAAATTACTTAGCTCTGCCTTTTGGCCCTGGTTCTCATGGTAGATAAGGCTAAAAGCTATCAGCAGAACCCATACCAAGCCTCAACATCACCTTGAAGTTTTCTCTGCCAGATTAATTAGTTTATCATAACTCAATCTCAGTCTCCTGCAAAGTCTCAGGACATGAGCAAAAAGTGGACAAATTTTCTGCCACAGTGTAACTAACACACATGGCCTTTGGCCTAACTGTCAATGGAATCCTCATTCTTAACGGAAACCTCCTGAGCCTGGCCTTAAAAGTGTCCATTTTTTGGAGTACTACTCAGCCATAAAAAATGAGAAATTAGAGACATTTATAGCTAAATGGATGCACATTGAGGTGATACTCTTAAGTGAAATAAATAGGACACACGTGTAAATTTTCTCTAGTGTGAGAAACTCAAAGTGTAAGTATGGACTAAAAGGTATAACAGATAATGTGAAATAGGAAGAAAAGGGGCAAAGGGGAAAGGAAAGTGGGAGGGGTAGGGGAAAGGAAAGAAGGGAATGGAATTAATATGAGAAAATGAAAAAAGGAAACAAAGTCTTTGTAAATAGGGAGGAATGGAGGGGTTGAAGGGAGGGCAGGGGAAGCAGGAAAAATAAGAACCAAGAGAGAGTATCTAAAGGTGCAAATTTCCAATGATGAATGTAATTATATTGTATACCTAAAATGTACCAATAAAATAAAAATTTTTTTTTAAAAGTGTGCATTTTTACCAGCATTCTGGTCTTTTGAAATCCAACAAGAATCTCCCATCAAAAGTCAGTTTACAGAACTACAGGGGTTTTCTAGTCAGCATCTACAAACCTTTCCAAACTCCTGAGAACCAGTGTCAAAGGCTTCTAAACTACATGGTCAAGTATGGTCACAGAAATGACCACTCTTACTGTCAAAGTCTCTCCTAGTCACTTTCTCATCATTGAGATACAATATCTGACACCCAAATGCCATGCATGGTGGTCACGCCTATAATCCCAGAGGCTGAGGCAGGATTACCACGAGTTCAAGGACACCCTGGCCTACCTAGTGAGTTCAAGGCCAGCCTACACTACAAAGGGAGACTCTGTCTCAAAAAAACCCAAAAAAAACACAACATCTTACACCCACAACTCTAAAGGAGAGGTTTGTTTTGGCTCACAGTTTCAGTGGATTCAGTCCATGATCAGCAGGCTCCAAGGAAAAAAGGAATGGTAGAAAGGCATGGCAGAAAAAAAATCTGTTCATTTCATGGTAGCTAAGAAGCAGAAAAAGCCAGGAAGGGAGATATACCCTTCTAGGTCACACAAGCCAGTGAGCCACCTCTTCCTATTAGGCCCCACCTCCTAACATCATATTCAGCTGTAATATAAACTCATTGGTAGAGTAATCCACCAATGAGTATAACACCCCATGATTCAATCACCTTCCAAAAGACCCACATCTGAGCTCATGAGGCTTTGGGGGAAGGGATTCTCGATATAAACCATAATAGACTACCATCACAAGAATAGCACATATAACATTCTTAGGGTGCTTACCATGTATCAGGTACTCCTCAAAGCATATCATAAAAACATATCGTATTCATTAACACATTCATGACAGGACTGCAATTCCTGTCTCCCTGTTGGGTGGCTCTGATTTAAATTCCATTGTCTGATGTTAAATAGTTAACCACGGGTGGTTCTGGTGGTTCAAGCCAGGAGAACATGTTAATTCATTTAAAACTCATAACAACCTATGAGGAGGCTCTAATATTATCCACATCTCACAGGTAAGAAAATCAAAGCATTGGGCCGGGGATTTAGCTCAGTGGTTCTGGCGCTGGCCTTGCCAGCGCAGAGTCCTGAGTTCGATCCCCAGTACAAAAAAAAAAGAAAATCAAGGCACAACAGGTTAAATAACAATGTGACTAGCTGGTAAAGGAAAAATAAGAGATATAAATCCAGTTAGGCTGGCTTGAGCCTGTAATCTTAAAAATAATGCACACTGCCTTTAAATTAAATTGTCTGCAGAAAAATGTGAGGTAATGAAGATACTAACTAGATCTGGAATCAGGAGATATGAATCCTACAGTTCTCTTTCTATATAACCCCAAGCAAGTTACATTTCTCTAATTATATGTGAGATAAGAAGACTGAACCAGTTAAGTATAAATAGTTCCTTAGTGGGTACCTGCCAATTCTAACAATCTAAGAGAAAATTAAATAAGGAAAAAATACCAAATATTTTTCTTTAAAAACCTACACTTATAAGGGTTGTCTGCTTCCTCTCCTTTCCATTCCTCACCCCCCAAAATACCAATCGAAAATACATAAATTAGTGGCAAGCTCAAGGCCCTGAATTTAATTCGTGGTACCAAAAAAACCCCAAAAACTTAGGAAGGATATGCTGCAATCCCAGCATTCAGGAGGCAAGAACCTGTCTCAAAAAAAAAAAAAACCCAGCCAGGCATGGGGCCACACACTTGTAATCCCAGCACTCAGGAGGCTGAGGCAGAAGGATCACCACCAATTTGAGGCCTGCATAGTCTACACTGAGTTCAAGGCCAGCCTGAACTACATAGTGAGACCCTGACCCCCCGCCACCTTCAAGAAAAGAAATCCGGAATTTTATCAAAAGAAATTACAAAAAAATTCTGGTACTAAATTTTATAAATTTGGCATTGTACGGTAGAGACAATAATTTATGAGCATTGTCAACTACTAGGCTACTCCTACACAGCATATCTGTGATGTTAAACAGCTGGTCGCTGCCAATGAAGTAATCTGGGGCATCTCATTTTTCTCTCTTTTCCTCACTGTCTGTATTCTTTATTATGTTTGGCTCTAAGTTCACTTACCATGGTTTTTCTCCTTGTGAAACTTTGAGGTGGCAAAGTTGGCATCCTACTCTTAATTCATCTTTATAAGTTACAAAGGGCTTTTAAACAAAATCCTTTTTTTCATACACTCACAGACTGCAGGATGGTAAAGACCAGATTCTTCAGTAAGCACTATCTCTGCAGAATGGATATTCTTAGTAGATTGTTCTCATGATGCCACGGGCATATGTGACAATTTTAGTTGTCACACCTGAACAGAACCCAAACACACCATTCTCACAGGTTATATTCCCATTATGCCGTATCATTTTCACACATCCCTTGTTCCTACTAGAATGGGTTCTCATAGAGACGGGGTAGTTTGAACATTTTTGCTCCACGTCAGTCCTTAGTCTGCTAGACTAGGAATGAAGTGGATTACGAACGACACAATGAGGAGTAGAAGAAACAGGCTGGGAGGAGCCCAGATGTGAGACATCTCAACCAACTGTTCTCTCTCCTGCCAGAGGAGGTGACTTCTAAGTTCCAGGTACAACTCCTGTCAGACTAGCTACTTTAAAACCCACTAAAGAAAAAGAGAAAAAAAAAAAAAACACTGAAGGGCCAGGTATGTAGTTCAGTGCCACTGCGTCTGCTCGGGAAGCAGAAGGTCCTGAGTTTCATTTCTGGCAAAAAAAAAAAAAAAAGAGAGAGAGAACCCACTGAAAGATGGTTTATACTACATCATTCAAACCAGGTGAAACTGTTTTTACATATTTATACACACTTATTGTTCTGAAAAGGATGTGAGAGTATTCTAAAATTACTGATGCAGCCTCAAGCTCAGAAGATTCTCAAGTAAGTTCAAAGAGAAGCAGGCAGCTGCCCAAAGGTATTTTGCATGAATGTCACCCTCCTCCTCCTCCCTCCCCCTCCTCCCCCTCCTCCTCCTCCTCAGCCTTCCTAGGTCACAGCAAGTGCCACAACCTAGCAGGGAGGTGGAACAAAGCAGTGCTAAGAGTGGCAACAAGGAGTAGTTACAGTTCTCAAAAAATATGATAAAGTCTTATGAATTTTGATTTCAGGCTAAAGTTCTGTTGATCAACTCCTGAATGAACCACAAGAGGACTGTTACATACATTTACACCAAGGAAATTCTAATGCTGTCAAATTCTGGTATCAGTAATGCTTGAATGATCTCTTACCTGTACGATGGGAAACTGAAGGTAGTTCATGTTGTTAACAAAATACAGAAGACTATAGCTATAACCCATGAATGCTCCAGCCAGTAGTAAAAAAAGATGATGTTCGTTTAAGCAGGTTTGTACGGCAGGTCTATCTATGCTAAAGGAGAAAAGTTATCAACTGTTAGGGACACAAATCATTGTTTTAGGCTTAATATTTACTGAATCCAAATAAAAAATTCACTGCAGGCAAAGTTCTGAGTTAATCACTTAATGTCCAAATTCTAACAAAATGGCTCATTTTAGGTAAGTGTGAGCAAAAGATTAACAAGCCTCTTTTTCTTGAAGCATGAGAATCTCTCAATGATGCCCTAGAAACCCAATGTGGGTAAGAATGTCTACAATGGAAGTAAGTAACATCACTTATAATTTGGTAAACCACATCTGGAATGAGAGGAACTATAAACAAATTATATATACCTAAGATATCCCATGGCTTCTCTCCATGTTGTCTCTCATAACCAGACATCCCTCTCAGGACCTCTGGATGCTGTGGCTATAAAGTTGCTACAAGAGATACCATATCCCTTGGGGTACAAAGCCTTTCAGGCAGGAAACCCCATACCTGTGTGATATGGATCCCCACTCTCGTACCTGAACTGATTCAGTCAAAGAAAGAGCTCCCAAATGGTGTGGGGCTTGCTGCCTCTATGAACTGAGTCCAGAACTCCTGCTGAAGAGGAAGTCCTGACGTTTCCCAGCTAACAATCTAGAGTTAAGTTCTGAATAGTTAAATCCAAGAGGATTCCCTGGTGGACATAGAGTAGTGCCATAAGCCACTACTCTATCACCTTTTTCTTACATCCTTTAACTTTAAGCATAAGATTTTGGTGAACATCAAGCTCTTAAACTCCTGGGTATCTCTATAATCCAGCAAACATCTGAGGGTGTACAGAGGCAACACATGATTCAGTAGGAGCTAACTTTCCATGAAGGAGTACAGGGGCAAGACCCTGACATCTATCTCCATGCGATGTGACTCTGGATTGATTGTTTTCTGGAGCCTGAGATACAAGATGAGGAAGAGATTGGTCTCAATAAGGTCTGACACTGAAATCATTAGTAAATGTATTTATAACAAGTTACTCTTCTCAACAACTTGCAGCTTACTGCTGCCTTCTGCTCCTTGGTACTTCATGCCATCTCTCCTGAAGAGATCGGCAAAAAGAACTAAAGACTCACCAGGGATTTAGCTCAGTGGCCCCGTGCCTGCCTCGCAAGCACAAGGTCCTGAGTTTGAGTCCCGGTATCAAACAAAAAACGAAAAACAAAACTGAAGGCTCATCCAGGCTGAGCAGTTGGGATTCCCTTATTCACAACACTCCTGTATTCCCAGATGTCTTTTACCGTTTCATGTTTGTCAAGAGGACAGTTTGCACTAAAGAAAACTCATCTTATAAGGGAGGAAGAGAAAAAAAAAAAGAAACCCTGCCTCTTAAAATAGCTGAGGACGAGGCCCAGGGATTTAGCTCAGTGGTTTCGCTGCCTGCTGCGCAAGCACAAGGACCCGAGTTCGATCCCGATCCCCCCGTACCAAAAAAAACAAAAAAAAAAAATAGCTGAGGACAAAAAGGAAATCAAGTGTTGAGCAGATCTGGGTGTGGTGGCGCACGCCTGTGATACCAGCTGGGAAGGCTGAGGCAGGAGGATCACTGCAAGTTTGAGGCCAGCCTGGGCTATATAGTTCAAAGCCAGCCTGATCTACAGTGTGAGACCCTGTCTCAAAAAACCAAAAAGGAAAAAAAAAATTACTCTAGTAATCTATTTTGCAGTGCTGAGAATTGAACTCATGGACTCACTTATACTACGTAAGTACTCTACCAAATAGCTATAGCCATGGCTCTCTTAATTTTTACAGTCAAAATATCAACCTGTAATTTTTATTTTTTCTGGTAGTGAGGGCTTTTTCTGGTACTACTGAACCCAGGGCTTCACATAGGCTAAGCAAACATTCTACTACCAGTGAGCTACATGCCCAGCTCCTTTTGCTTTATTTTGAGAGGGTCTCACTAAGCTGCCCCGGCAGGACTTGAATTGCAGTCCTTTTGCCTTTGCCTCCAGAGTAGCTAGGATTATAGGCTTGCATCACCACACCTGGCTCAACTTGTGATTCGTGTATATCAATGCCACTTTCAACTGTTTAAGTTTCAAAATTTTAAAAACTCTATAAAGAAGGTAGTTATAATCATTTCTAAATTCTTCCTTTTAATTCATCCTTTCCAAAATACCTCTCCTTCAAACTCTGACCTATATTCAAGAATATCTATAGCTCCTCCCTCCTTTCTGAACTCCCTCAGGTTCTATTCCCACATCTCACTTCCCTTTTCCCATTATATCCACCTATTTTAATTTTCCTATTGTTCTCAGCAATCAAGGAACTTACTCTATGTTTCAATCACTCATAAATCCAACAGCACTTAGAACACAGCATGTTCTATACACAAATGTTTTAAAAATTTTGCTAAATTCAACAAACATAAGACATCAAAAATGTCTGATGTCAGGGCCAGGGATTTAGCTCAGTGGTTTCGCGGCCTGCTGTGCAAGTGCAAGGACCTGAGTTCGATCCCCGGTGCGGATGTCACCGGGCTTGGTGGAGCACATCTGTACTCCCAGCACTCCGGAGGCTGAGACAGGAGGACTGATGTGAGTTCAAGGCCAGCCTGAACTATACAGTGAGACCCTATCTCAAAAAAATAGAAGAAAAAAAAAAAACAAATAAAAACAAAACTGATCCACACAAATAAGCACCTGTGACAGAAATCTAGAAAGCAAAGAGTGTCATAAATTAACCTATATGGGTCACCTTTGGCTTAGTAACTGAAGCAGGCTATTTAGATAGAAAAAACACATTTATGTTACCCCTCAGCACCCGTGCAGGGTACCGCCAGGAAACTGTACTGGCCCTTGGTCATCACCGCCGCACACCAGGCCATCATCATCCCCATTGCAGCATGGACAAATGAGTGCAGGAGCTGCTGAGGGTGCAGGATCTTTCCTATCAGCGCCAGTCGGGAGCAAGGAATGGACGGCACAACTGCAAAGAAAATGCATTACTGTGGCTCGTATTTGCAGCATATGAAGTCAGAAGACCTCAATTATTCCCTCATCCCTCCACAAATATTCCAGGGCCAGAAAGAAACCCATAATCCAACACAAAACATAGTAGGGAAAGACTGCAAGCTAAAAAGAAAAATCCCTGAAACCAGCACTCGGGAGCTGAGGTACATGAATCACTGCAACTGCTAGGCCACTGTAGGCTACAGGGTAAGTTCAAGGCCAGCCTGAACTGCATAGTGAGACCCTGTCTTACAAAAAACCAAACCAAAACAAAAAAAACCTGAGACAAGAACAAATAAAGAGAAGCACACACCAAAAAAAGAAAAGTCAAAGAATGCAGAGATGAAACCTAGAGAGCATGTTTAGTATCTTCTCAAAAATTAAAATTTCCTGATGGCTGAAGTAATGCCAACCCTGGCACTTTCCTAAGCATCACAATAGAATAACTAAAAATTTAAAAACATGGTTCTTGAGCTGTGCTTAGTGCTGCACACCTGTAATCCCAGGACTTGGGAGCGTGAGGCAGGAGGATCACCACAAGTTTGAGACCAGCCTGAGCAAGTGTGTTCAAAACCAGTCTGAACTACAAAGAAAGACCCTGTCTCAAAAAACCAAAGCAAACAAATAAAAATAAAAAGTTCCTATCCTCTATCAAGTTTTCTCTATTTCAACATTTGAAACTGCCCTTATATAATTCATCTGTGAAAAATAAACCACATAGTAGGTAAACACTGGCAACACTGAATACTAAAATAAATGTTGGTATGGGATTTTTGTTGTTTTTGAGATGGGGTCTTAACTATAATTAATCCCAAAATCATGGACTCAGGAGATCCTCCTGCCTCAGCCTCCAGAGTAGCTGGGACTATAAGCATGCATGTATCACTGTGCTGGCTCTGTATGGGAATTTTTAGTAACTCTCTGACAATCTAAAGTATTCTAGAAGAGACTGAAGTGACCTGAGGGCAGTGATTGTAAGTGAGAAGAGATACTTACCTCTGAAAATAGGTAGCCCCAAGGCTCCCTGGCCTACCTATGCAGGTACTATCCTCTTAATATACTCAAAGAGAAAGAGACAGAGGGGAAGCAGAAAACTAAGTGTGAAAGGAGGAGAGGGCACTTTGGGGAACAGGCTGCCATGCTCCTTCTTCCCCGAGAAATGCCCCAAGTGCTGACTGGCTGTGGGACTGACCTCTAATGTTGAGTATGCCAACTTCTATCACTCCACCTTCTTACACGCTACATCAGTGCTGGCGAATCTATGCCACATGTGGCACACTGGGCACACAGAGCTCTCTGTCAGTACTCAAGCCAAGTCGCCCCAGAAGCCACGCATCAGCTAACAGGTGTTTTTTCTAAACTAAAACTTCAGTATTCAGGTTTAATTGCAACGTTGTCACTTTCCAATAAATAAGTGGATTTTGGGTTGCAGTTTGGCTACTCGTCTCTGAAAGGTTCAACATAACTATGCTATATCTTCCCTCTAGAACATCTTTCCTTCTTTGTCTACTTACTACAGCTCTTCTTTCAAGATTTGGTTTAAACAATCCTCCTCATACCCCCAGACCAATCATTCTACTCCACCACTGCGATACCTCTATACATTAGACTATTTCAGGTACCTCACATAAGTAGAATCAGGCAAGATTTGTCCTAGGAGGTCTAAATATACTTTAAGAGAAACTAGCACCAAAATGAAGCATAAGGTACAATATTTGAAGCATATGATTCTGTACATATCTTTAAAATCCTGACACAGAGCTCAGCCTATTATACAGATCCATATGCAAAATGCACTGAGTCTCCCCTTAGTAAAATAAATTCAGATTTTTAAAAAGGTTAACATTTGAGGGCCGGGGATTTAACTTAGTGGTTCCACCGCCTGCCCTGCAAGCCAAAGGACCTGAGTTCGATCCCCAGCACCAAAAAAAAAGGTTTAACATTTGAAACTCACCTGTATAGAACTCAACATTGAAAATACTTATTATTATTATTATCACTGACAGCAGCAGGAGGTAAAAGATTACATAGGAACTGTACAGGTCACTGAAAGAATCTAAAACACAAAAAGATGAGTTAGTAAGGTTTATTCAGGTTTGTGGTGATGTTCAGACACTGCAATATAAAAAGTGTGAACCACAAGTATAACTTTTAACTTTAACACTTATCCTTTTTTTTTTTTTCGTACCGGGGATCGAACTCGGGTCCTTCCATTTGCGAGGCAGGCGGCGGAACCACTGAGCTAAATCCCTGGCCCTAACATTTATCTTTTCTCTAAGAATTTTTTTTTCTCTCTAAGAATTTAATTATACACTGCTTACAAGTCCATCCAAATGGACATCAACTCAAGTGTGAATTATTTGGATTTGGCTCTGGATACTTTAAAACTACACCAGAATTTATTTTAAAAGACTTATACCCCAGCCCTCTATCTACAATTTTAAATAGATGACAGGAACAGTTCTTTTTTAAAAAGAGAAACAATATTAATAAAACTATTATCAAGAGGAAAGACAAAAATTAAGCTTTGCTTTATGTGGTCATCTAATGATCTCTTTTTGTTCCTGTCATCATAGTCTCTGATAGACTTATTACTCTATTATACAATAAAATGGTAGTTTGTGTTATGTAGGGTACCTTAAACTTATTTCAGAGTGAATATTTTGATATATCAATATCAATTTAAAAATAAATTATTTGAAACATAATACAACTATGTTGAGAAGTAGGTCTTATAAATTTGTTTTCCCCAAACTGAGTATCACTTACTTGACAGCCATTGTATGGGATGAAATAAATCAATGCTGCTGAAGATTATAAATACTGTTGTACATACAGGCAGAAGCACCACAGACCAAACAATACTTGCAGCTATCCTCCAACCCAAAACCTAAAATTAAACAAACAAAACCCCTCAAGCATAAAGTCAGTTAAACTTCATAATTTCATAACTTGTTATGCAAATCCTCTTCATACGGCTAATGTTAATTACTAATACTTATATACTACACATAAACCCAAATAATTACTATTATTGATAACATTATATACCACTACAGAACCTTGTCTTATTGGTGAACTGATGCTTGCATTATGTCCAGAGTCAGGTGCAATATCAAATATCACACTTTGAGGTGGGCAGGGCTGAGATAATCTTAGGTTTATTTATCTTTTGCAGTACTGGGGATTGAACCCAGGGCCTTGAGCATGCTAAGCAAGTGCTCTACAACTGCAGCCCTCTTTTTTTTTTTTTGGTACCAGGGATTGAACTCAGGTCCTTGCGCTTGCAAGGCAAGCGACGGAACCACTGAGCTAAATGCCCGGCCCTACAGCCCTCTTATTTGGTTTTATAACTACATTTTATGGCAACTAATACTTGTACCTCTAGATTTGATAGCTCTATAAATATCTAAAGGCTATATACGCATTAAGATTGCCATGATATGTGCTCCTTAGTGGGGAACTCCTGCACTGTACCCGTCTGAATCGCCAATGCTTACCACAAGGAGGTCTAAGATTTACTGTGGACTATGTAAATACAAGAGGCAATGAGATGTTTAAAGCATGCAAATCACAAGTGGATTTATGTTCTAGAAGGTAAACCATGTTTGTGTTTACTGTAAAATGGCTCCAAAGAAAATGAATCAGAGGGAACCAGATCTAGATCGCGGACACAGCAGTTAGGGGCAGTCCCCCACATCAGCCCACGACACAGACCACAGTTAATGTCAAAACAAACGGCAGCGGGGCTGGGGATGTAGCTCAGTGGCTCCACGCCTCCCTGGCAAGGGCAAGGTCCTGAGTTCGATTCTTGGTTGGGGGGGGGGCAAACAAAGGGCAGCAGTGGGGGAAGAAACAAAACAAAATGCAGCCTCATTTCTGAGGTAGAATCCACAGGACTTTATGATTGACAATATAGGGATTAAAAAGTAGATAAGACCCAAAAGTTTTTTAGCTTGGAACAGTCAGTACACTTGGGTAGAAGCACGATTCCTTCTAAAAGGGATCTGTCACTTATTGCTTTTTGCCCACCACAGAAGGGATGCAGAAGGAAGCATCTCCTCAGCTCAGTTCGACAGCGAACACTTTAACTTTGCAAGACTATCCGCCTCGCCTTATTGGCCCCCTACCCCAGCCTCTGCTAAGGGCACACACTACGTCATTTCCAACTCTGGATAGTCTTTCCCACTTCCTAGCCCAAGGAATCAACTATTCACTCCTGCATCTACTGGACAGACTACCCTTGCTTAAACCCATGCCCCCCACCTCTGCCCCAATTTCCACTCAGGTCATCCCTTCCACGATGACCAATTTACACCTCAGACTCCTCTTCCACCCGCTGTCCAGCTCCCTGCCACAGGCTTGCAGTGAGTCCGCCCGGCAGGCCCTTTCACACAGGATCTGCCCACGCTGCCCTCGGACAGGTCCCCTTTCCCGCCCAGAGCGCACGGGAGCCCAGAGCCCATTCGCCCTGCCCGAGCCTAGGAGCGAGCGCCATAGTGCGCTTCACTCACGCGCCACAGGATGTCCCGCGACCCGCCGACGCCGAGGCCACTCGTAGCGGTGGCCATGGAGATGGCGGGCACTGCTCTCAAGCGCGGCGGAGGCAGTGTGCCCGCCCGCCACCGCGGTTCAAAGGGAGGAAAGTCCCAGAAGGACCCCGTCGGGGCTGCCTGAAAAGCTGCCTGAGCACAGCGCGCTCCGGGCCACAACCCGTCAATTCTAGGTTTTATCTGGACAGGCTCGACCAGCCGGAACTGCCGCATATTCACGCCCCACACAGGTGACTGTGTCTCCAGGAACTGTCCTCTCGCATCTAAAAGGTCCCTCCAAAGCAAGGACCAGCGGGGCTCCAGGAGCGAGGGGCGGGGGCGCTGCATCCTGGGAACTGTAGTCTCAGCCGGCCCCCAGGACCGTGGAAAAGCGTTGCATTCTGGGACTCGGAGTTCCAAAGCAGGGCATGCTGGGAGTCAAAGTCATTTCCCCCCC